ATATATATATATATCATACATATATCATGTATATATATATATATATATTGATACATTGTATTTGTATATGTATGTGTATATGTATATATATATATATATGTGTAAATGTATATGTACAATATATATATATGTGTAAATGTATATGTACAATATATTAATATAATATATATATATATATTCCAGGTCCGTGGGGGGGCTACCGGAACGGGGACCGGAAACATATTGTACACCATTATATTCCCGAAATTATACACATAAGATCTTCATGATATCCTCTTGCTTTCCTTGTTTGAAAAAATCATCCCATCTCCATATGTGAGTCTAGATAGATATACTATACATGATCTTGCCCTGCTTCCCATTGGACAAGCGACAGCACCAGCATGATAAAGAGCTGCAGCAGGCTGGGCTGATTGGCGAAGAAGACTGGGGGCAAACTCACGCCCCAGCCCTTGCCCAAAATCACCAATCCGAACGACCATCTATTGGGCCTACGGAACAGAAACACGGTGCGGCAAGCTGGGGCACTGCGTTTACTACTTTAACTGCGGTGGTTTTACTGACCAGTGTTTATATATATATTTCCTTAGTTTCCAATGGTCATGTGGTGAAATATCGAAATATCCATAAATAACCCCATGATTATTGGTGATGATTAGTGATGCACCCTGTTTTTCTGAGCTAGTTAATTATTCTCTTTAGGGATGCGATTAGAGATTTTTCGGGATTTCTCCCACGGTGTCTCCCACCTTGTCACAAATAATGAAGTAAGAGGCATATGCCCAAAACATCCCAAAACAATACAATACTTTTGCAATATTGGTAGGGTAGAGTAACCACAAGGGTAACCACAACAAAAGGTTCCGAAGAGTTTTTCCCCAGCGCCTGAAGCGATGAAGCAGAAATGTGAACATTTCTAATTCGCGCTTGGTAGGGTTCGCTGCCAATGCGGGAGCTTTGACGGCTCCAAAGGCACAGAAAGAAACCTGGCGGAGAAAAAATAATGGGAAAGACGTGCCCGCGAAACCTCTGTCAGGTTGAAGGATTGGTTAAGTATATCAATCACTATATATATCAAATTAATGTGGTAAACCCAATTCCATAAACCAACCAAACATGGGGATGATGATTTCCCATTTATGGTGATATTGATGGTTTATGGCATTGGGTTTCACCACATTGCATCTTAGGGATCCCCGAAGACATCATGGAAACCATGGGTGTGCACGACAAGAATCAGATCATGTGGGTCAGTTCAAAGAACACCCAAGTTGGGCCTGATGGGGCGGCTTTGGTTCATATATGTTCACATTCTATCCATTTCCATGCATCCATCTGTATATAAACTGTTCTATAAGCTGTTAATTGGTGACTGAAACATATTTGCTCCTTGACTCTACAGCTGCGTCCACATTCAACCCCAAAACTAGCACCTATTTTTGTGTAGAAGGGGACACCCTGGGATTGCGGTTTTTCACCGCATTCTGCAACCACTGACACTGCACATGTGCGATGGTTCTCTCACTGCTTTGCAAACATTCACAATTTCTGCTTGGTTTTGCTTGGTTTTTCTGCAATGGACAAAACCAAAACAAACAAGAAACCAAAAAAAACAAAAATAAAATTTAAAAAAAACACACAAAAAAAAACAAGATCCAACTCTCTGCCACTACTCCCCCCCTTGGGGTGTGCAATATTGTTGTTTTGTGTGTTTTTGTTGTTTTTTTGTTTTTTGTTTTTGTTGGTTTCTTGTTGTTTTTAGTTTTGGGTTTCTTGGTTTCTTGTTTTCTGGTTCTTTGTTGTTTTTTTGAAGGGCTGGCAAAACAACACAAAAGTGAAGGACCTAGACCTAACTCTTTGCCAGTTCTCCCACTTTAGGGGTTGCAAACTTGCTTTTGGTTGATTTTATTGTTTGCTTTGGGCCTGTGGTTCCATTAGAAAACCATGTAAAAAAACTATGGCAAAATGCAGGTATCACTGGAGGAAGCTTGAAGCAGGTCCCCAATGAGTTCAATTAATCGTGAATCCAGATAGTACATGTTATTTTCCCGTGGCTGGGGTGGCAAGTTCCGTATACTTGGGGAATAAATGGCCTCAACCAGTCATGCGCTGCCAACCAAATTGAACCCCCTCAAGCAAACGATCCAGGGGTTTATGAAGCCGGAGTTGACATGATGTGCTTCCACAAACTGATTTCGCGGATATCTCAGCTTCGACATATCGAAAGATCAGGCGCCAGTATCCCGATTTCGTTGGCGCTTTGGGAAACCCACATTATTACAGCCCACTGGATGTTTATACTCAAGAAATTTCGCGATTACTCTCGCATGTTCTGAATCAAGACACTCACAAACCTGAAATCACTCAAAGTGCACTTCTCGTTTCTCGTCTACAATACAATCGCACTCTGTGTTCACCAAGAAACAAAGGCAGTGGCCAACAGAATCAACGAAGCGCCAGCCCAGTGCATCAACGTGTGCTCCGATGAACCTGGACGAAAGGACGCTGCCCACGAAACAGCATGGCGCAGTCATCAGTTTATAGTAACCCCAAAAAAAGAATACCCTCCGGATGTAGCTTAGAAAAAAAAAACCCTGTGCAGCTATATATAGACCCAATTTGGGGTCTGGAATGGAAGTCTAGAGAGGGTTTTTCCGAGTTTTTCCATGTTCATCTGCGGAAACCCAGAGCTTCATCCTTGAGGCGATACCTCCAGGTTGCTGATCAGGGATGTCATCAATGCTTGTTTGGGGGGGTTGGAGGTATCTATCTAATCTAATCTAACCCAATCTATAATAAATATATATATATATATTAACTATCTTCTCGAGTGTTGGGGATTGCTGCGCTTGATGCTCAGTGAGCTACAACAACTGTCAGTAGGCAGTTGTCTGCTGCTGAGGGGACTTTGGCTTTGCATTCCAGTAGCCCTCAGTGGAGGTTCCGTCATTTTGGAACATCCGGCGCCCCCACTACAAAGCGACCGACCTTCAGTGTGGCAAACCATCATGTCCACGCTTCTACTTCGAGATGGTTGGCTTTTGTGTTGGCAGTGGCTCTATGGAGCGCATGGGATCAAGCCCACCACCTTGAACAGTTCGCCATGCCTCACTTGCCCAAACCTGAAGGAGCGCTCATTGGCGGTGACAAGGACGGCAAATACCGCACAGCTCGGGCGAAGGAATACCCCAGCCAGCAGTCTGCCTGTTTTGCATATGCTTTTTGGCAACGGATTCAGCAACGCATCGTTAGAGTGACTCAAGCGGATGTTGATCCGTTTGCCAAGCAATTAGCCTCTTGGTCTAGCAGAGTGGATCTCGCCAAAGACATGAGGCATGACTACCAACCCATCTAAAGGTTGGCGAATTCATCTGACACATGCCCGCTGCGAGATCATCTCAAAGGCCGAGCAAAAAATATCAACTATCTAACCATAATGTGGATAATATGGGTGTCTAATGGGTTTGGCTATGAAGGACTAACTGTTAGAGGTATAAATAACCAAGCAGAATGGGAACAATACGAAGATAAAATGGGCACGTCTAAAGGGGATTTGGGGTAACCCCCATTGTTGGACAAACCTTATTTTACCATAACAACTTATATTGTTGCATTGGATCTTAGACTTGCTGATCCGGAGCCCAAAAAATCAAAAGATGTAAATTCGTCTCTCCATATTGCTCACAAATCATATTCTCATAAATGATAGATTCACTAGTGGGAAGACGACTCAGGAACTCAGGAAATCCAGTGGTTTGCCCCTCTATCCCCCATTCAAATCGCCATTTTTGCAGGTGGTTTCCCCATGTTTGATCTATGGCATTCCTGCAGCCCTGCAGTTGTTTCCCGGTGAAACCACACCCCGTCCGTCGCTGACTGGAAACCGCAGAAAATGTCGGGATACTTCAAGACGCTGTACTTTCCAAGAGGGTGTTTGAAACACCTGTGCGCAAACGGACCGCGGCTGTGAGTTTTTTTCAAGATTTTCAAGCATGTTGAGGGTGATGATGAAGCAGATGTACCCTCCTGTAATCTGACAAGCTGGAAAATCACTCATAAATGGAGGTTTTACTGGAAAACTCTATAAATGGAAGATGTTCCAGCAATCCATGTTTTACCAGAGGGTACCACGTGAGTCCCGGACAGTTCACAATGTTTTGTCCCATACCCATGCAGTCCCCTGATGTCCCTTGTGTATGCGGGCCTTTAAAAAAGACGTCGACGACTGTGTTTGAAGGCAAACGTGTTGCTGGAATCACGTATAGTCATCGCCGAAAAGATAGAAATGTAAATTCCCATTTAATTCGTGAAAACCAACAGTTCTATCTTTTTGGGGGTTACTATCTTGCAATGCCTGAAACTAGATCCGCAACAAATGTATCCTTGGTATTCCTTGTTTTTTCTCGTTCACAAACAAAATGCTCTTAACTTAACAAAATGGCCAAAGGACCATCAAAACATATGGGTTCGTCTCAACATTTGAGGTTTAAAACCCCAAAACCCACTTTTATCATAAATTTCCCTGTGACAATTGACATAAAACATCATAACATGGTGCTATCACACCCATTTCGGGTCCACACCCAAATATCATATTCTTGGTTATATCACCAATTATACCCATGCAACATCCCTATTTACATAATTTTCCTTTCAACAACTCCTGATCTGGGAATCTGGGGAAAACGAAACCCAGGCGTTTTCACCCCTCCACAACAAGGCGCATGAAGGGTACAAGCGCCAGGCTGGTCATTGTTGTGAAGGCTGTCTGGAGAGTGTTACCGATAAGACCTCGCTGCAGGGCCACATGAAATGGACTATATATATATATACACCGGACATATGTATATCTTGTTCATGTATACACTTAACATTACATGATACATGTGTATATGAGATTAACTCACATATGTTTATGAAAAAAAAGGTATTGAATATCGCTTCATAATAATTAGTTGTATCATGTTGTATCATATATTCTACCGTCACGTTTGGTGCGTTTCAACCCATCACAACAAGAGTCAACTGCAATCATTATCCGAACCAGGTATAATGTTTCCCTCATTATTGGAAATCACCAACTGGTACACCAAAAGTACGGATCAGAAAGGCGCTCTGCCAACACAATAGTTGTGCACCATATGTTTTTCCTTGGGGAACGAGCCGTTCCGTTGCCGTTCCCTCCGTTCCGTTGCCGTTGCCGTTGCGCCCAGCAGCTAATGACTTTCCTCCATTCCCAAGTCAACTTGTTTCGCTTCAGGATGGGAATCAAATGGCTGAGACATCCAAGCAGCACCAAGCAGACAGGTATCATCCAAAACACCACGGCTGTCCTCAGGTCCAAATTGGAGGTACCTATATGCAAAGTCGACTGGTAAGGTGTATGTAATAAGATATACCCCAGAAATATGGTTTCTGTGGTATAGTCCCTCCTTTTCAGGGTTTCTAGAAATTCCCATTGAACATATATATATATAAAAAT